AGAGAATTCAAAAATGACCATTAGAGTGGTGATACTAGTGTGTGATTTTTAAATACAGTCAGTCATCATTAATACATCACTATTGTTGCATCTGCATTTTCAATACCTTGTAAGACCACTCTGCTAATGCAGAATGGTCTTAAAAAGGTTTTACAATATTAACCTGAAACACTGCTCGTTTACCATGTCAGCCTGTGTCGAGACACACAGTGAGAGTGAGTTGATGCCACTGGAAGTGAGAACGGCGAGGTGAGGAGTGAGAGCGCTGCAGGTTGCCAACGCTATTTCCTTCTGAAAAACACTGCAGGACGATAAGACAGATGCCAGGTTGCAGTCTGGAGACTTCAGCTGGTAGAATACCTGAACAGAAATACAGTTCAGGTCATGCACACATCACGACTTTTAGATGGCTTTAGAACTCAGAATGGAAACCTCATTCAGTTCACAGAAGGTGTCAGATAGGAGCAAACAATTTGATGTGAAAAAAGGAAAAATTACCTCAGTGCATGTAATCAGCCGATTGTCTGACTCAAACTCAGTGTCTTGTTGCATCCTCACACTACACACTCCATCTAGGGATCTTCCATCAACTCCACTAGTTTTGCTGCAGGAATACAAATTCACAGGGTCACATTAGAAAGTACTGTTTTCCCAGAGATTTAAACTGCATCGTGTTTTAGTTAAAATATGATCAAATACCGGCATTGGCAAACACATACACACATGGAGTAAATCATTGCGTGCAGTTACCCTGTGTTGACAGGTGGATTCCACTCCACCCAGCGGACAGTCACATTCTCTCTGAGCTGCTCATCATTAATCTTGCCACAGGGTATGTGGAAGTTTGTCTGCTCCCTGAGGGCAGAGCGAAGAGATTCCATGGTCTCTGGAGGGATTTGCACCATCAACCCATCTGGTAAAAACAAAACAATTGACTAGTCTGGCCCAGCAATAACAGAATGGACATAAGTATTTCAGAGCCAACAACCAGTCACAGTACCTTCTACAATGCTGGACTTCGCAATGAAACCTGAGGAGGCTTTAAGTGCTCCATTGAACACCACAAAACTGGCCCCAGTGACTGTAACAAAACACAAACCCCCAGAAGTTCATGTATGCATGGTACAACAAAATGCTTGCCTCTAATGTTTTATTTTTCAAAAATACAGGAGTATGGAGCATTTCTAAAGATACTCACCTGTCCGAGACTTCCCAGGCATGCTGTTGGCCTGGGTTTGGTAATTTCCCTCCTCATTCTGGTAACAGACCAGGTGAGAGTCGGCCTCCGAGCTGAATCTTGCTCCAATGCTGATGACATGTTCATTGGATGCATTTATCACCTTCTGCACCTGAAAAATACAGAAAAATATACATTTCTGTACAACACTGCTGTGTGTCAACTTTTGCTTTATTTACTTATTATTCTTACATACATACATTGTTTGATTTTGGCCTGTTGTAAAGAGAATTTTAAAACGACAAGGGAATCATTTTCTGGTTGTTCATTCAAAACAGATCTTACTACACATTCTTTAATAGATAATTTATCAAGGGTTTAATAGGGGTTTTTTTTCCTCTAAATGCTACCTCTATCTTCAGCTTCCAAAACGTATTTTTATTTGCCAACGATGGCCCTAAAACACAACTATATAAAACTAAGTAGCTTTGACTTGTTTGTACAAGACAATTTCTCAACATGTGGCAGGAAAATTTACAAAAGAAAGTAAAGAAAAACATATTGTACTGATCATTCAACTGATTTAATCTACTTTGTACCCTTTTCAGTTATCCTTTGCAGGGAGTTAGAGGACGACCACAAAAACCTAATTTCTAAACCAATATGTTTCTAGAGGTTACAGAAATTTTGGGGGTAGTTTGTAGTTTGATTACCAAAAAATTAACCCAAAGCACTTGTAAATAAAGAAGTCAACATCTACTGAAACCAAGTACATGAAGCTTGGGCACCAAAACACCTGAGAAGTTATTCTTTTTTTAGTTGCAACTGTGACAAATGACATATTCAAGCATTATCAATGTTTATCTAAATCCTAACCAGAATCTGAACAAGTTTATTTTACAAAATTAAAGGAACTCTTACCTCACTGAAGCTACTTTTGGGAATGTCAATGTAGCTGTGGCCCATCTCCATGTGGATCCTCAGGCCCTCCACCACTGACAGGCTATACTGGTAGTTCCTTAGATCCTGGATGAGAACAGTTTATAGAATCTGAACTCATCAAAGTGTTCTAATCAATTTTTTTCAAGTCTGCCAATAATCAGCATCACAAAAGTGTCTATGACTGTTGTCCTAAAAACATTTATGTTCAAAAACCTTTCACCAAAAGCCCAGTATAAAACAAATTAATTTTAAACTGTCAATCATCAAAATCAAAAACTACTCTGCCAGACACCCATGAAATCTGCATTACTTAAAATGTGGCTTGAGTGGAGTTAAGAATTATGTGTAGTTTTAGCTCTAACAAAATTTTGCCAAGCTTCTCAATTATAAATAAATCTTATTTTCTTTATTGCAAAATCTTATTTTGCACTACTTACAGCCAATAAATTCATAATGGTGTGTCCTGTCTCTCGATACACTGACTGCCGAAAACGGATACTTATCAGTGTGGTGGGATACGCTGAAAAACAAAAACATTATATGTAAATAAACCATAAAAGCACAATATGTATCACTTGTCCCTGTGTCTCTCCTAGAACAGCCTATATGCTTACAGACAGTAATTTACAATGGTTTAGTAATTTAACTTGTAGAGGGGTTTACCTTACAGTATAAAATGTGTTAGTGTGACTGCTTTTGTGATTTGAGCTATATAAATAAAACTGAATTGAACTGAAATGAACAAAAAAACGTAATCTATAAACAAATATATCACCATTTACAAATACAATTTTGTCCAAAAGTCCAAAATCTAAATAAATTAAACTTACTATCAGGTATACTGGCAAAAAGTTAAAGGTAAAATAAGCTCTTTACAAATGAGAAGGTGGAACTGGGGTATTTTTTATTTACTCAGCAAACTGCTGAAACTAATAATTTTAACAATAATAATAAACTAATAACCATAATGTTTCAGAAGAGCAGGTTTTTTTCATTTTCAACAAATCAAAGTTTAAGATTACTATGTTTTAATATGAAATAACACTCAGTGTTGTCATGAGCAACAAAGATTTACATACAGTTGTATTCAGCTCCAAGACGCAAAAGCAGTCTCAGTGGAAAGACTTTGGCCCAGGGCACCTCCAGTTTCTGAATGAGCAGGCCAAACAAGAATGGCTGTGAAGGGAGAGTGAGGCCGTCTAGAGACTGGCAGGTGGGAGAGAAGAATACCATCCCAGCATGATCCTTACTGCCCAAGAAACTACTTGTAAAAGTCACATTATCCAGCTCCTCCACAAACCTCCCTGTAACACAAGATAATGATTATGTTATCCTTTATAAGCTAAAGGTGTAGTTATTAAAAGTTGCAAAGGCAGGCTGAAGGCAGGTATTACCTTTTTGGGCATCCTGGAAAATGCTGAGATATATGGTAAAGAGGTCTTTGGGAAGAGTTTTTTCTTGAGGCAAACACTCCAACAGAAATACTAACTCTTTCTGTCCCAGAGCCTGCAGCCCATTAGAGCCAAAACACCAGCATTCCCTGCCAGAGTCTGGAAGATAAAACACACAAGAGTTAATACATTGGAAGGCATGTGAGGATTCACAAGATTTGAAAGAGGAAATATGAGATACACTACCAGTCAAAGGATTGGACACACATTCTTGTTCAATGTTTTTTTCTTTATTTCTACTGTTTGCTACATTGTAGATACATACTAAAGACATCAAATATATGACGGAAGATATCTGGAATTATGTAGCAAAAAAATAATTTAAAAAAAGATAAATAACTCTAAATATGTTTTATATTTTACATTCCTGAGAATAGCCACACTTTGCTTTGTTGACAGCGCTGCCAATCCTTGGTCTTCTCTCAATGAGCTACATGATGTAGTCACCTGAAATGGTTTTCACTTCAAAGGTGTGCCTTGTCAGGTTCATTTGGCCTCCACAGTCACCTGATCTGAACCCAATGGAGATGGTTTGGGATGAGATGGACCACAGAGTGAAGAAAAAAGGGCCAGCAAGTGCTGAGCATCTCTGGGAACTCCTTCAAGACTGCATAAAACCATTTCAGGTGACTACCTCATGAAGCTCATGGAGAGAATGCCATGACTGTGCAAAACAGTAATCAAAGCAAAGGATGACTATTTTGAATAATCTAAAACATAAAACATGTTTTGAGTTATTTCACACTTTAGTATACTACATAATTCCATATTTGTTTATTCATATTTCACTTACATGTCACCAGTTTGACATTGACTAGCAGGTTGGCATTAAGAATGAATGTCAGAGGACGGGGTCCGCCTTCTTCTAGTAAGTGCAGAATCTGACATGGAGCAGGATTCTCCTCAACTAAAACATCTAAACAGAAAACACAGCAGAGCGATTATTAAAGTATTTTGGATAAAAGCCAGTGTGAGACTTACATTTCACTCTGATCCAAGCACAACAGAAAGACATAAGATGTCCAGATGTGCAAAAATAAACCAAGAGATTCATGTCTAAAACACACCTCCTCCTTCGTCCTCTCCAGTGGCAATGAGCAGTGGAGGCAGCTCGTCTTCATTGTCTGGCAGCAGACTGGGAAACCTGTTCACTGAAGAACCAATTCCACAAAGCAACGCGAAATCCCAGGGTCCAGACACTGGGCGGCAAACTACCTCTGCTGCCACAGCAGCCTCAGGGGAAGATGCACTGTTAACTCCGGTCTCTGCCCCAGGTAAGCCAGGCTGAAATAAGAATGTCATTTTATGTAATACCATCGTCAATGGACTAATTTTTATTGTCCATTTTTTTTTAATTTCTATTTATTGTCTATCTAATTGTCTATTTTAGTGTAGCAGTACTAGAAAATGCCAGGTTGCCAAGAAGCACATAAATCAGCTGCTTCTCAAGAGTTTCTCATCATTGTATGAACGTCAACTTGACCATGTTGGACAGCAGCTGGCAGCACTTGTTTTCAATTTATGAAAGAGTTTCTAGGACCTCTGGCCCTGATATTTGACATGGATATATGGAGTAGAAGGGCCAGTGACCTTAGCTGCAGTTCAATACACTGGGAGTGTATGCTGTTATTTTTGTGCCACTATTCTGAGCGCACGTAACAAAGAAATTTGAGCGCAAGTAAAAAAAAGTTTGCAGGTGCAAGTGTTGCATTTTGAGGAGAAATTTATTTTGAGCGAAGAAAAGCTGAATTTGAGCGAACAAAATTCATTGCTGCGTGCAAAAAATGTATTTCAGTGTTTGCTGAACACTGAAATCCACTGCTCTCAACGTGTTGCTCGCGCTCTCAACGTGTTGCTCGCGCTCTCAACGTGTTGCTCGCGCTCTCAACGTGTTGCTCGCGCTCTCAACGTGTTGCTCGCATTCTCAACATTTCTGCCCGTGCGTGTTCAACTCTTTGTGTACGCCGTTATATTTGTGCCACAAAACCAGCCAATCACAGACTTGGATGCAAAAATATCTGATTGGCTGTTCTGGTCTCCAGTCAGCTCGAAATGACAAAATGCAATATCCCAGAATCCATTTCGTCCAAAACTCAAACGAGGCAGTGGCGGAGGAACACAGAGTGGCGGAGTTTGAAATATTACTCTTTCTGGGTCACAAAATAAACTTTTAAGATATTTTCATGCGAGAATGGTGCTGTGTAAACTTCAAATACCTGCTCGACTCATCAAAACATCACATATTTCCATAATGCTCTAATGTTTTCGGAGATGCCTGTTACCCACCAGCTGACCGGGTGGTCACTCGGGTTAAAAATAATATATAAAGCTCAACTGACAAAAAATCGGCCGACTACACCACCAGGTATTATAGGAAAAACCATAAAGCCTTTGAACTAAAACAAACGCTGTTGTGACAGTGATGTACACTGTCTTGTTGGTATATATGTATGATTTGTATCACCTTCATGTTTCCAAACCGATATCATGAGCAGCAGCTTTTACAGCTGTGGCTCCAGCAAACATCAGCTGATACTAGAAATTAATTTTAAATAAATTCTAACAACAGCTTATCAAGCTTGAACGTGCTGTTGTTGTTTAGCGCGACATCCGCTGGTTTCCTGTTTCTGGCGCAAAGTGGGAGATAAACAAGAGAGACGATCAGCTGATCATTGATCGGTTTTATGATTGAAGTAGCAACAAAAAAGGAGAGGGAGGGAGAGAGAATGAGGGGAGAAGAGGCAGCTGTGCAACGTAAA